AAAAAAAAAATGTCATAAGGATACAAGTATAATTTCAAAATTCTTATTGCTTCTTCATTTCATTCTCTACTTCACCAAGTATGGATAAAGTAGTCTAGTCCAGAACCAAATAAATATGAAGCTATAAAATCAGTGTCTCATTAAAAGATGGCCACTGCCTGGCTCAAAATTATAATGTAAACCACATGGGAATTAGGTCATTGATTTTCTTTTTGATTGAGTTAATTTTTGAGGCAAAGGTATGATACAAAAAGTGGGAAAAAGAAGACTCCACTAAGAAAAAAGAAAAAATTATTTGATTGTAGTTAGCATTATTCAAATAGGACTGAGAGTTTACACCTTATTAACTACATTATTAGATCCTTCATCTGGTTCTAGAAACATAATTAACAAAATATAAATGAAACATAAGCAACCTTCCTTTTCTTAATCCAATTAATAACAGCCACATGGAAATCAGGGAGAAATATTTCTGTTCTTTATTGATTCTGTTCTACTCTATTTATCAGGTATCTTCATTTTAAATTAGGAATATATAAAGCTATGGAATTTTATTAAACTTATTAAATTGTATTACTAAACACACAAGTTCCTTAAATACATAAAACTTCATTGAACAAAGAGAATACAAGCTAAAATATCCCTTAAATTAAAATTACTTCGTAGCATTTCCTTTCAAATTCATTTTTAATTTTTAAAAACAACTTTTACTAAAATAGTAAACATTGTAATGCATAATTATGTAATTTCCTTTTCAGGGAAAATGACAGGAAGAGTTGGGTCTTCCCCAGATGTATTAAATTGGTCTTCTAGAATAATGTCCTGACTGAGTGATACGGATGCTTTTTAAGGTCATCTGATAGCCTAACATTTCAAGATTTTGGAAAAAAATCAATTTCAAGATAAAGCAATTATGCACTCTATTTCATATTGAGTGGGAAAAAGAAGTAGAAACGATACATGATTTGGCATTGTCTGTAAGTAAATAGTATAATTTTGAAAATACAATTATTTGTTCTGAGTTCATTGTAAAATCATAATTTGATAACTTTAAATGGCCATAGAAATCATCAATTACAAGTTTCTTCTCTAAAGACTAAAGAAACTTAAACCCAGATAGATTAAGTAATTTGCCAAAGAACAAATAGAGCTGGATCTAGAACCCAGATTTGATGTCTCCCAATTCCCAACTGTTTTCCTCTCCTAAATTCAAAAAGGTCAAGGAAAGATTCATCTTATTTTTTAATTTCATTTTTCCACATACTTTTTGAAGTACCTTCATATATTTAGTACTTTTACATACTGTATCACTAATAAAGGAAAATATTCTTAAAAAAATCCTTACATACAAACTATTGTTTTCAACTAAAAAATAAGCATAAAAAATAGTCCTTTACAGGGATGTATTATAATCATCATAATTTATCCAAGCTCATTATAGAGAAAGGCAGATCAATGAATAAAGTTTATATTATAGTTTAAAAATATATATATCTGTATTTTTCAAAAATTTACTGTATCTTAAATATATAATAAAGTGTGTAATTCCAAGGGGAAATCTAGTACCATCCTAATTTAATTTTAGATGTGATGATAATAGCTAACTCCTACTGAATACTTTGGATGTTCAGAGATTAAGACAAAAAGCTTACACTCATTATCAAATTTAATCCTTCAAACAACCCTTGAGAAAAGTACTTATATATTACTTATATTTTAGATAAAAATAAATTGAAGCTCTGAGAGATTATATAACTTGTCCAATATCATGCAGCTATGGATGTAGAAACACCCGGATTCAAATCTAAGTCTGATATTAAATTGGGAATAATAATCTCTGGTAAGGAATTATTCTCACTTTACAACTAAGGCCTCAGCTTAAACAAAGCTAGAATACTACACACTCCCACAAAGGAATCCATTTACAGCTAATCCCATTTTGCATTTAAGCAAAGAATACATTAGGATCTGCCTAACATCCTTCCCTTATAGCAATTGAAATTCTTCTAAATATTTTCATATTAATTCTTTAAAACTATTCTTCATTAATAGTACAAAGATAAAAATGTAGCTTATCTAAGTTATGCCACAAGTTCTAAGCTGATGTCATCTAAATGCACAATATTTTAATGCTGGAGCAGCCAGAAGTGCCAAGCAATTACTGCACACGAAACATAATCGAGCTTAGTTTCATGCCCAAAATGAGAATGCAGGAGCCAGACAGAGAGAAATTCTTTCTCTCCTGTGAAATAATCATGCTAATAATCTCTTTGGTTCTAATATTGATGAGCCAATAATAAATGCCAATGCTCCCCAGTACACAAAGAGCCCAATTATGCTACACCCAGTTATAAGATATTAAACATGGAAGACATTTACTTATTATTTTCTCCATAATTTGTATTTTATCCATTTCACAATTCAAAGGGACTCATATCAAAGTAGTGAGAAGGAAATTAATCAATTTTGTTCCTTATTAAATTTCTCTTATCATAGAGAAATTTAAAACTCTTTATTCTGGGTTCTGAGAATCATCTTCATCTGAACTCTCCTTTCTGCCACCACATTTAATTGTTGAGCGTTTATTCTAATACCAGAACTTCAGGGTCTTCCTGGAACTATACTAGCAGGGTGTGCTAAGGGCTACAGCCATAGATTCTTCCAGGGATGAGTGCTGAAGATTCTCTCCTAAATCAGTAAGAGTGGCTATAAAATACAAAATCTTCCATGTAGTAACTGGAGATAAGGATATTTTGACAGAAAAATAAAATGCAAAAATTCAATACATAATTTTTTAATTAAAAAAACACTTCTGGTTTACAATAGCTCAGTAAATATATATATTTAAATATACATTTATAAATAAATATGCATATATCTTAGAAGAAGTTCTAAAATAATGATTAAAAATGTATAAAATTATATACTTCATATGATCTATACCTAGACCGGGAAGCTTTGTTACCTATTTCTTTCCCTGGGTATAAAATAGTGCTAACCACCCTCACTAATTATCTCTTCATAATTAACTGTCATTCTCAACTGGGATCTAAGTTGATCTTTCTCCAGCACTGTTCTTATTGTAATAATTATCTACGTTCAAATCAGTAGTGGCTGTGTCATTAAACAGATGGCTAAACTGTCACATGGAGTTTTGGAGTTTAAAAAGTCACATTTTAATTGGGGACTTAGGATGTGATTGCTGTTGGCATGATGCAAATGTGTCTTTCCTTATATATGCAAGTAAAACTTACCACCTCACCAATCAACTATTCAATTTTTTGGTCTAAAACTATAAAGTAAACAATTTTAGAGTCCTCTGAGTTTGGCTGTCCATATAGAATACTGCACAGGATTTTCACAATTAAAAAGGTGGAAAAAAATCAAGAATGTAAAGTTATGTTCATGGGTTAATGTGGAAATGCTCTCTAGACTCTAGTGTTTAAGTAAACCTTAATCATGTATTAGGTAAGACAAGATTGGGAGGAACTGTGACATCCACCCAAGATTGTAAGTAGAATGAGCTCTTTGAAAATAATTAAACTACTCAATAGTCAGTTTAGAGAGGGTCCTAAATTAAGATTATTCCTCTTATTCTTGTTACTTTATAAAACGCAATTAGGAATTCTGCAACTTGGATGACATGCCCATGCTCTCTCTCCCAAATGGTGTATCTACACCTAAA